CCCCAAAACCCCAAAACCCCAATAGTCAGAGAATTGAACATATCAAGCAATATATTAAATTGCACTTTTGACAGATTTAAATTTAAATACTTTATCTTTGACAAGTATATAAGAAAATGGAATCTTCTTAAAACACTATTGATACATAAAGAGATTTTTAAATAGCAAAACTAGAGAGTTTCCAATTGAGTATATTCTAACAAGTTAATTAAGCAAAGGAAAGGCTTTACAAGTAGAATGAACTTAAATAAAGCGATCTATCAAAATTATTTAATGGAGTTGTGAGTGAATTGATAGCTCTTACATCACCTAAAGATTTTTTTGATTTCCTAAAGCAATTTGAAGGAGACCTGAATTAATAAGAGAATACAGATAACGTAGTGTAAGCTAATAAATAATAGGAAAAAATCCGAGTAGATGGTAATGAGGGACACATCAACCTCTAGTTCTAAAAGATGAGAGAAGATTTCATCGAATAATTTTAGGGTCTTAAATAGGAAATGCAGCTGCAGACTAACCGATAGATCTAATCAATTGAAAACGCAATAACTTAAAAGTTGAATCACAGCGGAAAAATTGATAATTAAGCTTAAAATCAGTTAGTATCTTAGTAGAGAAATCAAGACTACGATAAAAATAAGATAGAATACTTGAAGTAAAAGATACTTGATTTATAAGTGAGACTTAACTTAGGCGATAGATAATCTAATTTGAGCTTTTTTTCAAATCATAGCAATGGATCGGACTATTAGAAAGCATATGGGGAAATTTTGAATTCACTTGTAGAAGATTTAAGTAGAATAGAGGAAAGAGAGAGAAATAGCTAGATTGTCTATCCTAATGCATCTTCCTATGATTAGGAGGAATAAAAATAGTCAGAAAATATAATACTTTAAGATAGTAAATAGTCTCAAAAAGATATTGGTACAAGCTCAAACGGTATTGTAAGTACATAAATAGAAGACACTGGTCAGAATTTTTTAAAAAATGAGTCAAGTTTAGGCTATGAGGATCCAATTTTTCCACTATCAAATGAATCAGCTGAACAGGAAATCAATTAGTTAGATGATAGTTCATCTTATTTGGTAAAAATGTATGAAACTAATGAGAGTCTAGATCAGTCTAGACTTAATTAATCATTAAGATAAAATAATCAAAATCCTAAAATTGTTGCTTAGAATATAATTTATAAAAACCAAGATGGAAATCTTATAATTGGATTACATCACAAATAGTCAATGCTAAAACATTCTGAGACATAAATAACTTATGCTTTGGAAATCAATGATATTATTACCTCTATTTTCAACTATCGTAACTATTTGATTTTTGGCCTTTAATAATCAAAATTGATGATTATTAGTTCATTAGATTACACTATTAAAGCTGAAACATATATTAAAGCAAAAGCAATGAAATTCTTAATAATTCCTGGGTAAAGATTTTAATATCTTTTTGTTTTTTGCCAGTCAGGATATATTGAAGCTATCTCTCTTTAAACCTTTGCAGTGTTAGCATCATTTAGGCATTCAAGTGAATTGGATTTCTCTGATGCTGCTCCCACTAGTTAGGCAAATGAGTATTTGTTAGGATTTTCTCATAATAAGAATAATAAATACGAAAAAGGAATGATAGCTTCTATTATAATAACCATTAGGGAGCTAAACGCCGAAGATGTTTTGATAAAGTTTGATGAGATTAAGTACAGCAAAGTATAAGTGTAGGGATATAAGACTAAATAATCACCAATCTTTTGCTTTGCAGAAACATTTTAAAAAGACCTGTTTGTGGTCTGCGCTTTTGACATTAATTTCAAGTTGTATGATCATACTTAAAGAAAAATACTTCCAAAAACAATCCTCAATCCATCTGATTCTAATAATTTTAACTGCTTGTAGAGAGTTTGCTTTTTTTCTTCGGAGTATCCCTATTTGATTTATAAGGATTCTAGAAGTATTGGATATATTGATTGTAAATCACAAATTGCTTATAAAGTTGATGATTGCTCTTTTTAATGTTCAAACAATAAATATTCTTTATATCAGGAAAAAATGCCTAGCGATGGTTAACTAGAATTGCATTCTTTATGGTTTAAATAAGACGACAAATCGAAAAATGATAAACAATTTAAGAAAATTATAAATTTGCCTGCTATATTGGATAATAAAGAGAATTTAGCGAACTGATAGTTAAATATGAGAAGGGATAGCAATATTAATTATTCGTTGCACTCATATTTAAAAAGAATTTGTTTCTGCAACAAATTTTATTATTTCTTAATTATTCAGCTCAATTTTAATCATTTTAATGGGGTTTTGGGGTTTTGGGGTTTTGGGG